TTTTTTTTTGGCATGTGGGGGGTCGGCGCTTGCCAGATCGGTGACTTTTCTTCTTAAATCGTAATCCTTGTTGCTGTTTCTTTCCTGTTTGCTAAGTTTTCCTGGGCATTTGCTTGAAAAGATGTTATTAATAATTTCGTTTTTTTGTTTTTGCTTAGGGCTTGAAAGACAACACCATGTCTTTATTTTTTATATATTCTTGATATCTATCGATATATTTATTATTGACCAGTGTTTCTGGATGAGATTTCCAAATAAAAAGATAAAAAATGAGATACAAGCTGCTAGTTTCGCCTTTGTCTGGGACGATGAACTGAGAAAAGGATAACACGTCTGATCGCCTTGGCTTTCGCTGTGACTTTTCTAAGCCAGATGGACGGAGGAGGCTGGCGACTCCACTTGTGTGGCTCGCGGGTCGCACTGCCTTGGAAATAGCAATAAAAACGAAAGCAATTGCCCAAACATCCCTCTGTGTGTGTGTGTGTGAGCGTGTCCTTTGAGCTGCAGGACTCTCTCTCTCGGCACCGTGCTGGAAGGGTGCACAAACCCCCGAGCTGGTGGCCAAGGGACAGGAGGGCGGGCGCCGCAGCCACAGTTGGTGCAAAGAGGGGCAGATGTTTTTATAACTAAAAAGTGTCATTTTCGGGGGAGGGGGGACACAATGGGGAGAGGGGACATCCAACTGTCAGGCCTCTTCCAGGAAGGAAACCGAAGCCTGAAAAAYCAAGTGGAAAGGCCAACTGTTCCGCGAAGGGACGTGCTGCTCCGGGAGCGAAACGGCGCCGGTGGGAGCGGTGAGGAGCTCCCTGCGGGAGCAGGTCCCGCTGCCGGGTCCCGCGAGGACAGCTGGATCCGCCGGGATCGGTCGGGATTCCCGCTCGCTGCTTCCGTGCGGGCAGCGAGGGCACCTCCCCGGTCCGGGTCCCTTCCCCGGGGCAGATGCAGAGAAGGGAGGGTGCTGCCGTCGAGGCAGGAGCAATTCCCTGCCTGACGGGGCAGAGCTGCTCCCGGGAGCGGAGGGGCTGGGAAGAAGGGCTCCACCAGGGGCTGGTTTCCACCGGAGCTGGGCAGGAAAAAGGTGGGGGACAGTGAACGGTTTCCTTCGGTGACCGGTGCAGCACCCCATGGAGAGACTGTCGGGGAGGAACTTGGAGGGACACGGGGAAGGCGACTCCCTTCCTCAGAAAGCGCAGYGCTGGCACGTGAGGGTGGGAGGGCATTTAAATCCAGACACGGGACAGATTCTTGAAGATACCTAAAGTAATCGCACTGATGAACGAGCTATGCAACATCATAACTACTAATTTGTTAAGACACGAGAATGCATAAACATTTTAAAATAAATAGGACAGATTTATTTGGACCAAAAACATATTAAACTAACGAATCATGTTGTAAAAAGATAACTCTGAGTTAAATAAATCCGGCCAGAACTTAAACAAGATGCCCTAGAGCTTCTGTAGTTTCCTTTCCTTTCCTTTCCTTTCCTTTCCTTTCCTTTCCTTTCCTTTCCTTTCCTTTCCTTTCCTTTCCTTTCCTTTCCTTTCCTTTCCTTTCC